GTATTAACTCACATTCCAAGCAATAGTTGTTGCTTCCCTGCCCCCACATTCTTCAAAGCATCTATTATTTTCTATCGTTGTTGTTGTTGTTGTTGTTGTTGTTGTTTTGATGGTAGTCATTCTACCTGGGGTTTGATGGAATGTCATTTTAGCTTTGAGTTACATTTCACTGATGGCTAACTATATATACATATATATAAATATATATACACACACATACACACTTTGTTACCTTCCATTTCTCCATTAAGAAAATTAAATAGAAGTAAATATTTAATCATTCAAAATTCTGCCTAGTTTTTCTTTTGTTCAAATTCATTTTTTAGTTGTAGTTGGACACAGTATCTTTATTTTAAATTGTTTTTAAATGTCATGCTGAGGATCGAACCCAGGGCCTCACACATGCTAGGGGAGCACTCTACATTATTTGTACTCGGGATTGAACTCAGGGTCACTTGACCACTTAATCATATTGCCAGCACTATTTTGTATTGGATTTAGAGACAAGGCCTCACTGAGTTGCTTAGCATCTCACTTTTGCTCAGGCTGGATTTGAACTCCTGATCCTCCTGCCTCAGGCTCCTAAGCCTCAGGGATTACAGGTGTGCACCACTGCATAAGGATTTTTTTAATCTAATTACTTACTGGCTGTTTTTATTTCTTATGAGAAGTGTCTATGTATGTCATTTGCCTGTTTTTAATTGAAATGCTTATTTTATTGATTTTGTGTCTTCATATGTTGTAGATATTAATTCTCTGTCAGATAAATTGTTGCCAAAAATTTTCCCCCATTTTTAAGTACTCTCTTCAGTCTATTAATTATTCTCTTCATTGTGCTTCAGAAGCTTTTAAATTTGATGTAATCCCACTTGTCAATTAACCAGTACATAAAAATATAACATTGTACATATGAATGGAACACCAAGTAACATTTGATAGATGTATATGTTCTGTAATGATTACATCAGGTGAAACAATTACCTCCTCAAACCTCATCTCTTCTGTGTGGAGAAAACTCAACATCTTTTAGATGGGAGCTTTTTGCTGACTTTGCTCTTACTTCCACTTTGAGTGAAAACATTTAACATTGATCTTTTGAATTTGATTTATTTCTTTTTTTAAATTTCATTATTTTTTATTCTTTTTATTTTTGCATCATCAATGGTAGCAGAAACTCTGTTGTTTAACAAACATTTTTTCAGATCAAATAAGTGGAAGAAATAGTCATTTGCTCATCTGAGTCATACTTCCCTGTGATAAGTCTTTTCCTGGTTCAACATATGGATCTAAATAAAACCTTGCTTAGGGGAAGGGAGGAGGAGAAGGAAAGAAGTTTCTGGAAGGATATCAAGCAACTAATGTTGCATGCATTGATGATTAGAGCATTCAAAAAATCCCGTTATGTACAATTATAATACACTTATAACTTTTAAAAAATTTTTTCTAGATTCTGACAAGATCAAGCACAATATAATTTCACATAAATTTAGCTAAAATGGGCCTCAGGGAGAGCAAATTCCACTTCAGTGAAGAGAAAGAATCCACCAGGTGTCTCATTAGGAGATTCAGCTTCAGTAATCAGCTTTGAAGGGGTAGTCCAGCAAATTAGCCTGGTCATCCAGGACACAGATCCTCCAGTTTCTGTTGAAGTTGAGAAAGATCGCCATCTTCCCATCATTCAATTTGAAGTCAAACCTGAAAGTTCTCGAGAATACATTCTGGGGTCACAGAATACATTCTGGGATCACCACACATTCCTCTGGATATGGAACCGGATCAGAACCTGGGCTGGGGATTTTTTGTGCCTTGCAGCAATCTCCTTGATCTTAGGGTCCTCCAGTAGTGAAGGGTCTTCTGGTTTGGACCAAGGTCTATCTGGAAAGCTCAGGGGGCTGTAGGCTGTGACGTTGATGCCCTTAGAGTGGCAATATTGGATCAGTTTCTCCTGGGTGAGGTATGGGTGACACTCCACCTGGTTAGTCACTGGTTTATATTTGAGTCCAGG